GGTAAGGAAATAAAGTAAAACATCTACAAAGTAGTTTTTCTCTAAGCTTCTTTTAGCTAAAATATCGGACCTGCAATTAGTTAAGATGAAATTAGTCAGTACTAATTTTGTCCTAAATTTGAACTAAAAATCATAATTTAAAGACAATTCATGATATTTTTGTATCGAAAAATTAAATTGAAAAACTACAATTCAAGCCGCATTGGCTAATTCCTAAATAACAGTCCTTTTGAAATGGTCAGTGTCATTTCTACTTTATAATATAGTTTCTGATAACACCACCTATATATATATATATATATATATATATATATATATATATATATATATATATTTCCTTGGTTAGGTCAGGATTGCTTTAGAATGCGAAAAAAGAGACAAAAAGGAGAAGATAAATCTTCTTGAAGAGCCATTATGGAGCATGTATTGTAATGGCAAAAAAAGTGGCTATGGTGTGAAAAGAGAAGCTACAGAAGAAGATCTCAATGTGATGGAGATTCTCAAACCGGTTTCTATGGGCGCCGGCGTGTTGCCGGGAAAATCTGACGTGGAAGGACCGGACGGCGAGATGACGTATATGAGGGCACATTTTGAACGTGTGGTTAAATCAAAAGATGCTGAAACACTATACATGTTGAGCCCAGATGCAAATGATGGACCTGAATTGAGTATTTTCTTTGTAAGGATATGATCGATTAGTTATTATACAATGATCTTTGGGTCTTTAATTATTAGTTTAAATTTAATTGGAACCCTCTAAAAATTATTAGTGAGGGTAATTTACTACCTTTATATGTAGATATCAATTACTTACATTATATTGTAGGTCTTTATTAGTAGTTTGACTATTATACATGCTCAACTGTCAGCATTATTTGTTCAACATTCTTCTAAGATCGTATGTTAAATACTTTATTGATTACGTATATGTAAAGCATGATTCATTTTCAACATTTTTTTAGATCAAGAGAAACCGAATCGAGTGACTGCAACCAGTCAGTAGCATAATGGGCCAAAACAGAATAACAATGACAATGACGATCCAATCCAGTAAAATCCCACAAAGTGGGGTCTGAAGAGGTTAGTGTGTACGCAGACCTTACCCTACTCCGATGGGGCAGAGAGGCTATTTCCGATAGACCCTCGACTCAGGAAAATAGAAATAAAACAAGAAGAGACAATTTATCAATATCGTTAATAGAAAACATAGAAATAGTAATAGCATCATAAAAACCATAAAATAGATGACATGCAATAACAATAACCAGTAATTAAGGCCCGGAGCTATGAAAAACAGAAAGGATAGTGTGGACTCAACATTAACCACTAGCTGTCTAAGATCAACCCTATCAAACCAACCTCACCCCCGGTATGAAGTAGAAAAAGCTCGATACCCCTCTAGCCTACAACCCTAATGATCTGTCACGACCTGGAATTTTTACCCTCGGGACCGTGATGGCGCCTAACATCACATTTGCTAGGCAAGCCAATGTTAGAGTGTCATTAACCAATTTCCATTACGTTTCATAGATTAAAATTAACAAAAGCTAAATCAAGTTGAAATAAATGCGGAAGTACGTAATTAACCTGTCATCTATATACTATTAACAATACCATAACTGTTACTACCCAGAAACTGGTGTCATAATCCACGAACATACTATGAAATTCTACAAACATTGGTCTGAAAGGAGTTTACATCTGTTTCGAAAGAAAAGAAAACAGGAATGTAGAAACATAGGAGGGGACGCCAGCAAGACTACCTTGGGTCTCCTAGACGAAATGTCTGCAACCGACCTCTCGATCAGCCACTACCAGTTCCAAAATCTGCACAGAAAGTGCAGAGTGCAGTATCAGTACAACCGACCCCATGTACTGGTAAGTGCCGAACCTAACCTCGACGGGGTAGTGACGAGACTATGGCGGGGCAGTTACAATATAACCCGCATACGGTGCATAATAAAACAGAAAGAAGAACGGAACAAATAAATAGTAACTTGCAAGGAAAGAATACATATCTCGGGTATCTCATCAGTAACCAGTTATAACCAATCCTTAAATATAAAGCCAAATTACAGAATAACTTGCACAGTAGAAGAAAGATACATAAACACATAAACTGATACGGCGCATCCCGGTCCCACCATATAATCAATAATTATGAATATTCACCCTTATTACTCCATTTCAATCCACCCTTATTCCTCCTGTTGCGGCGTGCAACCCGATCCCATCGTACAATAGTAATTCACCCTTATTTCTCCTCAACATACCACCCTTATTAGTCTTGCGGTGTGCAACCCGAACCCACCAGACATTAGCATTTCACCCTTATTCTTCCTCAATATATCACCCTTATTCCTCTTGTTGCGGCGCGCAACCCGATCCCACCATATCAGTACCAATCACACAATAAGAATAGGAATTTCAAAATTTAGCTCAAAACCCTCCACAATATTTAAGCCTCAAACCAAAGCAAACAGAAGGCTATACAATTATGAAACTTCACTCAATTAATACTACACAGCGAGACTAATCAAATTATACCATGAAACATCGATAAAACAACTTAAACCAATAATGAAATACAATGAAACTACGGAATAGTTAATATCTTCAATAAAGAAAATAACATCTAACAAGAAGCAATTAAACATGGAAACACCAATAAGCATGTAGCAGTTAAGATAGGAAGACAATACATTAAGGACGGGGAAAGAAATAGGCTAAATAGATAATTTGGCGGCGCATAGGTATTTGTCACCTCACCTATACGCCGCACACATGGATTTTCACATAGCAATTAAGTCGGGGATTCCTAATCCCTCAAGTCAAAGTTAGACACAACACTTACCTCAATCCAACCACCAATTCGCCGCTCATTTATCGTTTTTCCTCTAATTTTCACCTTCGAACCACTCGTATCTAGTCATAATTAACTTAATAACATCAATTACCGCTAAAAAAATAATTCCAATACAAAATTATAAGTTTCCCAACCTTTTCCCCAAAAAGTCAAAAACCGACCCCGGGCCCGCTTGGTCAAAACTCGAAATTCGGACCAAAACCCGATTACCCATTTTCTCCTGAGCCCGAATATACAATTGGTTTTGGAATACGACCTCAATTTGAGGTCTAAATCTCCAAATTTCGAAATTCCTAAGTTCTACCCAAAATCCCCAATTCCACCATGAAAAACCCTAGATTCTAAATTGAAATCTTGTAAAAAGAAGTGGCAGATTGAAAGAGATGAGTTAAGAATCACTTACATATGATTTGGGAAAGAAATGATCTTTGAAAAATTGCCTCTTGAGGTTTAGGTTTTGAAAATTTGAGAAATGAATCACAAATCCCGTCTAAGTCCCTTTTACACAGTTGCAGATGTCGTATTTGCGACCTGAGCTTGGCAATTGCGAAGCTCGCAAATGCGAGACAGGCATCGCAAATGCGAACCTATCGCATTTCTGCTTCTATCGCAAATGCGAACATATCGTTCACAAATGCGGAGTAGTGATCGCAATTGCGACCACCGTCTTGGCAAATGCGAAGAATCCCTTCCCAGCTCAACATCGCAAATGCGAAGGGTTGTTCGCATTTGCGAACATAGGCTGGCCCAGCTTCTCTTCACATTTGCTATGAGAAGCTCGCAAATGCGACCTCAACAGTAGTCGCAAATGCGAAGCTTGACCTCACATTTGCGAGGTCTGAGGCCTGCAACACAGCTGAAGAACACCAACAAAATTTCTAAGTTCCAAAACACCCCATAGCCTATCCGAAACTCACCCGAGCCCTCGGGGATCCAAACCAAACATGTACACAAGTGATAAAATATCATACGAACTTGCTCATGCGATCAAATCGCCAAAATAACATTTAAAACTACGGATTTAACACCAAAACATGAAATTATTAAGAACACTTGAAATTCCTTTTTTTCTCAACCGGATGCCCGAATCACGTCAAATATACTCCATTTATCACCAAATTTCACATGCATGACATAAATATTATATTAAACCTTTATCGGGATCCGGAACCAAAATACGGTCCCGATACCAATGAGATCAATCATTAATAAAATTCTTTAAATCATTAGATTTTCAGACTTATAATTTTTAACAAAAATTCATTACTCGGGCTAGGGACCTGTGAATCCGATTCCGGGCATACGCCCAGGTTTTATATTTGTCACGCCCCGAACCTGGGCCTGGACGTAACACGGCACTCGGTGCCTGACTACATGTGACCGAGAGAACCAACTGGCTGGCTGAATCAACATGTGGTATCATACCATACTGAATGCAGAAGATAAACCAACACATACTGATATACTGAAAGTCTGGATAATATAAATCAAAGTGCGGAAATACTAATACAACTCTGAAACATATTTGTAGCCGACATAGCTTAATATGAAAAGCCTGTGACTCTGTCTAACTGTTACTCTAGTCTATGAAGCCTCTAATGAAGTACTGAAAACACTGACTGTCTGAAAATACTGAAGACTATAGTAATGACAATGCCCCGAAAGAACTGGGGATCACCAAACATCTGGTACGAGAATCCTAGCGCTCTGCATCGTCGACCTGTAAATCATTACCTGCATTGTGATATGCAGGCCCCGGGCAAAAGGGACGTCAGTACATTTGAATTGTACTGGTATGTAAAGCAACTGAAAGAAAGAATTATAAATGCTGAAACTGAAACTAAGCTGGTAACTGAGAATTGATAATTGATAACTGAAATGTTAACTATTGAAACTGAAACTGAAGTGATAACTGATAACTGAACTGAATAAAGGAAGTAAGGATATGAATACTCCCTCTTCTGAATGATGAACAACTTGTTTATTTGAATAAGCTACGGCCTCGGGCCCAATATATATGTGCACATGCTACGGCCTCAGGCCCAAGTATCCGTATACATAACTACGGCCTCAGGCCCAAAATGCATAAAGCATAAACTACGGCCTCAGGCCCAAACATGCATAAATCATAAACTATGGCCTCAGGCCCAAGTATGCATAAAGCATATAAACTACGGGCCTCAGGCCCAAATACAGGTGTTCAACATTCAGGAACTGAGAATCAAACTGCAATACATGATAATGAAATACTGAATCACACTGAGTTACATGATACTGGAATACTGGATCACACTGAGTTACATAATACTGGAATACTGAATAGGACTAGACTGAGACATGTATTCTTGAACTGATTATGAACACTGAAACTTCAATTGTTTATGACATGCTGAATAAGCTATACTGAGACTCAAGGAAATCAAACCCAAGTCTATATTGAATACGAAATGAGCTCACAACGTTCGGAATGAAAGTCATGACCGAGTTATGAAGCTAGAGAATAGAAGTTCTACAACTATTCAAGGAACTAGGCTTAACTATATTTCTGAGAAAATTGATGACGTGGTAAAAGAAACGTAATGTAGGGAGAATCATTAACATTCCCAAACATAGAGAGTTAGCCTCACATACCTTAACTTCCTGCTCTTGAGCGTAATACAACATTCGCCAACCCTTTCAACTTTAATCTATATCAATACAAGTCAAAGGGATTCCATATTAGCAATAATTCTCATGTTTTGGTCACTTAAACATTTTATCAAACACTTGGTGAGTATAAATCTTCATAATCCCTATTAATGGTGTTTCTACACCCAATAACCGATTCTCTTGCTCTTGGATAAATTCTAAAGTCTCGAAGGGTTATAATCAATATTATTCTTCATCACCCATAAGGTAAACAACACCCTTAACCAATAAAGTTCCATTAAATAAACATCTTTCAATCTCTATAATAGTTGTGTATTTATATTAGGAACTTATGGCTTCTAATCACCACACCAAGAGTCCCAATACTT